TTGCTTCATCAAGATGACCTTAATGTCTTTCCAATAAGCTAAGAATTGCCGTTATTTTATTGAGAAATACCCCATCTACCTGTGATCAAAAATGGCCGAAAAATAGAAAATTGCCCGAAAAAAAATTTCAACTTCGGGATGCGATTTTTTTTTAAAACGAATTTTCCCAGATATGACACATACGCCAAATCATCACATATTTGGTCCCCAACAAACCCCTAGTTTTTTGATTTTTTTCATAGACACATTTTTTTTAAATTTGGATTACGTAAAAAAATTCATGGTCATTTCTCGCCGAAAATGTCACATAACACGCCACCTCGTGGACATTTTTGAAAATTTTTCCATTCTGACTTTGGATTCAGAAAGGTGAGTCTTTTACCTTTCCAACGACGTATAAATCATTGAATTACCTTTCAGATGGCCAGAAAAATATCCAATTGATGAAAAACTCAAAAAGGGCCTCCCAAAAATGTTCGACCCCAGGCCCAAGAGATATGGGAGACGAAATCGAAAATTTCAAAAGCACATATATTCTCAGTTTTCCATCTTCTTTCAATAAAAATTACAAAAAAAATGTTTTTTCAAAAACTACGGAAAAAAAAGAGGACATACAAACACCCCAAGCGACCAATTTTGAGGTTTTTGGTCATTTTTGGTAAAATGACCATATTTAATCCACTTTTCAAGCGATCGTTATGATATTTTTTTTTAACATTATCTACGCAGTCCCTAGATTCCGAAAATGTAAAAAAATAAATTCGAAAAAAGCATGTCGGTGGTCAAAAATTGAGAAAAAGGAATTTTCAGCGATTCTTTCAAAATGCCACCTGGCGGCCAAATTTTGAACTTTTTTAAATTTTTTTGCGGATTCTTATTTTGGTGCCCGAGCACTACTAAAATATGTAAAAACCCCTTTCCAAAAGTCAGCGGTCTAGATTTTCATGTCTTTAACGTATATATAGAGTGACGCAAAATATACATATTTCATATGTATGTGGGTATTGCGTCACTTGGGGGACTGCCGTCCCCCGTGATAAGCTTATGCATTGAAATGACAGACATTGATTAAAGTGCGTCTATTCAGTGAAAATAATAATGTGTGTATGTTGAACATACTTCAGCTCATATTTCAAAGTGTTTATAGCGTTCTTTCTTTTACCCTGACATCGATGAATTTTTCCATTCACCGGTGGGCGCCATCTATAAATCTATAAAAGACATTGCCGATTTTTGTTACTAGTACTGTGTTGACACAGCTCCAACGAACTTGATTTTTGGACTCCGAAGCCGACCGACGCTGAGACTATTAAATCCGATACCGACCCTTCTCCGACTACCTTGGATCGGATCGCTGGTCGGGCTCTTTCAGTGCTCGCAGCTTGGACAAAATTTATGTGATCTGATCAGACAATATATTTGGATTTTGTACGAAATGAAAACAATAGAAGTGATTGTTATAGTTTTGGTAGTATTTTTAAACCTATACAACAATACTTCTATTGTTTTCACTCCATATCATCGCCTAACGCTATCCAGATGAGCTGAAATATCCAGATGACAAAATCCAAATATATTTTCTGGATCTGATGTTAAAGAAAAATGAATGGGTCAGAATAAAAAGTCGATTTGTTTTTTGAGTCCATAAAAGTGAAACACAGAGTTTTTTACAAAGTTTATTTTTTGTATTAAGAAATGAATCATGTTAAAACTCCATGTTCCATTTTCATAGACTCAAGTTACAAGTCGATTTTTTATTCTGACCCAATCAGAACTTAAAGTTGACGAATTTCATCGAGCATCCGACTTATACCGAATTCCGAAAAAATCCGATGGCGAAATCATTCCGATACCGACCGTTCTCCGACCATCTTCACTGATTAAGATTCAGTGTATGCGTGTGTATTGCAAATTTTACACGAGCAACTATGATTGACGTCTGATTGCAGAATATGTAACACATACGGACTCTGTTAGTCTGCTCCTGTGTATTAGTTATATAATTCGCCAGAGCTGTATAATTTCGTTGATATCGCTTCGTAGAAAATCTGTAATATAGATCGTATGCATAGAATCTGCAATAGAAAATCTCCGATAATAGCGCCCACCGGCATATAGGTAAACATTATTTTGGTGTTTATAATAACAACATTTATTGAAATGATATTCAAAACGATCTTCAACTAATTGAATATCTTTACGAAAATATCGATTGAAATAAAACCACGACAAAGTGATTCTTTTTTAATGGAGTAGATGTTAAAATCTGAATTCCTTCATATATCCAAAGAACTGGGTATTTCAATTGAAAAAAAAAATCATCTTCTCTTTATTCTTATAGTTAAATGAGTCGAACTTCACAAATAACACGTTAAAAATACGATTGAGCATGATTTGAGCTCAGAAAAGGTATCGTCTTTTGTATTTTGATTGCTATTTTCGTATTTCATTCTGAAACCGTCATAAAGTAAATCTAAGCTGAAATCGGCTGAAATTAATTGCGGGTTCGGGTTAATATGTTGTAAGTAGATGTTTCATTAAGCAACGTGACTCTGAAATACAAGTAGATGATTGTAATTAGTAAATTTGCATACATACACCCAATAAAAATAACTATATTTCATCAATTAATAAATTGCTATTGCGTATGTTAAATCTATATGACTTTTTCCTAATGGTTAAGAGTTAGTTTCTTAAAACTATGTTGTGATTAAATTATATTTCAATTAATTTTTACATGCACAATGTATGTATAATATATGTTTCATTTAAATAAAAAAAATTTAATGAATATTGAAATTGAATAAGAGGAACAATGATGTAAAATAAACGAATTTTTATCATAGTATATTTTATGATGTGGCAAAGTATTATGCTAGGGGCTCGGAACTTGAAAAAAAAACATCAAAAAAATACAGTTTTGTATGAATTTGGTATATAGCGACAAATATTACAAATATTACAAATATTACAAATATTCGTGATTATCGTAGTTTTTTATAATTATACAGCTCGTATACAGCAGCGATTTGAAACACACACACAACACAAAATAAAATTAATAATCATGTTATTATTGCATAAAAACAATTTTCAGGCTAAAAAATTTATATTTCTTCAACAAAAAAAAATAATTTGGGTGAAGAACTTCAAAAGTGTGTAATTAATATTCTTATAGTAGATCTTTGTGATTTTATAAATGAGAGCCTGAAACCCAAAACAAGTTATAAAAATTCTTTTCGGAAAAAAAGCATTAGAATGTATTTTAAATGATAAAGGCGATAGAAAAAAACTGAGAGTCAAAAGAGCATATACAGAACTGAGAATTAAAACAGAATATAAATTCAGTTAGCGACAAAACAAACAAGCGATATGTTATATTTTGACGCTCAGTTTTTATTCGTCTCATGTTTTTGACGAAAGCAAATATAATATTTATCGGTTCCAAATAAAAAGATATACATTTTCAGTGCTAAAATGAGGCGAATAAAAACTGAGAGTTAAAAAACAATTTACAGAATTGAGAGTAAAAACAGCAAATCGATATATGCTACTTTTGCTCTCAGTATTCTATGTGTTGTATTAACTCTCAGTTCTCTATTCTCTCGTTTTGTACTCAATAATTTCTTATGCTCTTTTTCCGAAAAGAATTTTTATAATTTGTTTTGGGTTTCAGGATCTCAAATGACGTTCCACTAAATGACATGCACCGTTTGCCGCCATTTTGGGAATTTACGATTGTTTAAATCCAAAGCTCGGATTTAAGATTCATCTACAAACAACGATAATCAGGAATAATGATTTTATTCACGAATATTCACAGAAAGTGAAGTTATTGTTCACTACTCAAAATGGAACAATATTCGTGAATATGCATGGTTTTTCACGAATAAAAAATACTTCCGAGCCCCTAGGTATTATGCTTTCCGGTGGAAGTGACATTTCCGGATGAAAGATTTTACAAATCTTTTACCTTCATGATTATTTCAAGTTCTGACGTATGAATGTTAATAAAAGTATTTTATATTGTAAACCAACTGTTTCATTTAAAAAACTTGTTCGCTCTTTTATCAAAATGAATTATAGATTTTGAACTGACTTACCTCTTGTCAATAAATCTGAATATGTTCTTCATTAGACAATATTTGTGAAATCCTCTATCCATCTCAAGTAAGAAGCACCATGTTTTTGGACATTCATTGTGAGGTAATTTTTTAAATTTATAGATTTATTTTGATCACAAATCAACTGCTGCAAGAACTTACGCTGTAACTACATTTTTATTTTCTCATTTTTTTCTTTAATACGGCGTAATAATTGTATGCATTCATGGTTGACAATATCAGTATGAGTGTTTGCTGCGCATACCATCAGACTATTTCTATAGCCGTACTGATAGAAGTCACAGGTCTAGCGCCTCGAGGGGTCCATTTTTGAAATTTGATCAAAAATGTCAATTTTTTCAAAAATTTTAACACATATTTAAAACATTTTTTTATTATTCGTAACGCAAATAATTAAGTCAAATAGACCACCAAAATCGAGCGAAGCCCATGGACCTACATCTACCTGAAAATAGGGTCCAATCATGGCTGAACAATTTTCAAAAATATGACCCAACAAAACAAAATTTTAACCAATTAATAGGGTGGTCTGATTTTACTGAAATTGTCCGACTCACAACGTGTTCGTTCGCAAAGTAGAAATTGTTGTTCGTGTTCAAATGCTCAAATGAAAGGCTGCTCCTCTTATCGAGCCCACGTGACTCATGTCCGCTGATTGATTTTGTGAACGATATGAAAAAAGGCGTACTGTATGTTTTGAGTCACGTGAAAGTTGGTGAATTCAGCGAAGGTGTTGAAACATATTTATAAGAAGGTGAAAAAGATTGTTCACATTGAATAGACCTTTTAGATATCCATGAATGGATCTGAACTTCCAACGCTTCTCTAACAGAAATAATATGAGAATAAATTCACACACACAACTGTTTTTTTTTAAATTAGTAGTTTATTTATTTTGCTCCTGTGATAAGTGTCACATTAAAAAAGAAATAATAAATGAATGAATGTGTATTAAATAAACTCAGAAAATGAAGGCTTTCTCAAATGAAGGCTTTCTTTTCTTAGAAATTATAATTTAAATCTCCGGAAGAAAATTTGACATGTGAAACTTCATTAGAAGGTGAGTATTGAATGCGGCTAGGTGCATCCAATTGTTGTTGGTACTTCGATTGTTGCGACTGTGAAAATCGGACCGCATCCTGATTAATGTTCTCGTCAGCAGCGTATCCGCTACTTGGTTGTTGATAGGCGAATTGTTGTTGAGCAGGCGATGAGTATTGCTGCTGTTGCTGCTGTTGCTGCTGTTGAAGCTGTTGAAGTTGTTGTAGTTGTAGTTGTTGCTGTTGTAATTGAGATTGTTGGATCTGTAATGAATGAGAAAATGTTTTTCACAAAGTATTCAAGAGCTTGCTTGGAAGCTTTATTAAAACGTCACAATTAATTTCTTGAACTAAAAGAATAAAAATGAGTGGTTGTACGTTTTTGTTATATTACTTCATTTTTATATCTCCAATTTACGGTGTAATTAAATGTGATCACTATAAAGCTTAGCTTTTAGCCATTAAGACAGTTTTATACATCATCAAAACATAAATTGTGACATTTTTCTTCTGCTTACCTGTTGATAGTACGCGTTCTGTTCTTGTGGCGCTTGTTCGTATTGGCGTTGTTGCTGAGGAACTTGGTATGTAGTGTAGACATTGTTTGGTTCTGCTTGACGCTGTTGTTGCTGTTGTTGCTGTTGTTGTTGTTGCTGTTGTAATTCCAACTGTTGTCTGAAGTAGTTGTTTATTTCCTCTTGACCATTATTTTGATTGTTGGCAAATTGTTGAGGAGATGTTGAATATATCTGTATACATACATTTTGCAAGAAATGAAACACATAAGTAAGTCTGTAATCGCTGGATTTTTATAGTAACATAGCAAAAAATTTAATGATATTTCCTCAAAAACTGTGCCATAGTTCATGACGGATACAATCAGGGGCGTCGCCAGGGGGTTGCTAGCCTAAGCTCAAAAACCAGAGAAATGTCCTTTTTTTTCTCAACAAGTTTTTTGAGAAGGAGAAATCATTTTATTTTGCTAGGGATTTTAGGTAGGGGACCGGCAAAGCGATGACCTTTTTTTGGTCATCAATTTCATTTTTTTTTAATATATCGATTTCTTGAAAATCTTCATGGTTTTACATTTGCCTTGCCCCATCTACAGATTTACCAGCATTGAAATTGTAGTATTACTAACCTTTACATTAACATAAATGTCTGTAATAGTTAATAAAATTATAATAGCTATTAATGTAGTGCTAAAATCTAACATTACAATTTCAATAGCTAATACCGGAAATGTCTTGTTACAATAACAATGTGTTGTTAAAAATCTACCATTAATATTGAGACTTTTCAACACAACTTTAAGTTGAAAATATATTTCCAACTTAAAGTTGTATTGAAAAGTCTCTATGTTGTAGACACCTATGAATCCAGTGTGAATTATTTGATTTCTATGAAATCTTTCATTCTTGCGATTTCGGTGATTTCTCGATTCCAAACCTCAATATTGGACATAAAATACACTTATATACAAAGCTAATTTCACTGTGGTTGTGTGCGCCTATAGTAGAAGTCGCACACATAGTGTGTGTGCGGTACAATATACACAACATTTGACAGAAATCAAAGAAATCACAAAAATTGAATTCTGCGATTTCTGTGATTTTAATGATTTTTGTGATTTCTGTGAGTTTTGATTCCACTTGTCTACCCCCTAGAAAAGTCTTATTATTAATGTTAAATTTTTGACATAAGCGGCAGCGCTGAGTAACACATTATTATTGTAACGAAGCATTGCCAGTAATGTTAAAAGAATAGCAATAGCTATTACTGGTAATGCTAGAATCTAACGTTACAATTGTAATGACGTTACTGTAATGCTTCGTTACAATTGTAATGTGTTACTGCAAAATGTAAATCTGTAGCCCCATCTAGCAAAATCCTGGCGACGCCACTGGATTCAATACTTAAAGTCATTCTGTTTAACAATTTTATAACGATTTTCCATTCATTTTACCTCGCATAAATGTGCCTTTATGTAGAAATAGATTTCGAAGAAAATACTACAATATGCAAAAGATAAACTTTTCACATAAATTTATCTCACTTGGTTCATTTAACATTGAAATCTTCCATGAATAGGTTAAAGTCTGTTAGTATTTTATAATAATTCTACTTTCTGGCTCAATCGACAAATTTGAAGAATTTTAAAGAATATTTCACATTTAAATCCGTTTATTTGTTTGAAACAATCTTTGAATATCATTTAATTAGGAACTACATAAAGAGGTAATGTCAAATGCCTTTATAAAGTCCCTAACGCAGTTTCTTATACTCTTTTACTCACACACAAACAAAACAAAATGTCAAAAAACAGCTGTTCGACCGAACCATTCATAACCAACTTCATGCTACTAGTAGATTCGGAATGAAAATAATGTTTGAAAATTCTATGATATTTCGAAAAATGAACTAATTATTTTGGAATTTTTTAATCTGTTTAGAATAAAATAAATTTTTAAACATTTTTTGTACTAGCAATATTTTAATAAACATTCACTTATTATTTAATTTTCACAATTTCCATCAATTCACAAAATTTAATTCATAGCACTAGCATGAAGTTGGTTATATGTCAACCTTTATTCATTCGTATAAAAACATATTATGTTCACGCACACATAAATGTTGGGGAGTTTTGACAATTCCTCTTTAAATGTTGCAAAAGTACTTTCCGGGTCAATCGTAATAATTCTCAATTTACCTGTTGTTCTGGTTGACTCTGAGCCGATTGAAGCTGAGAACTTTGGCTGCCAGGATTACTTCGGGTATTGAAATGTTGTGTGAATGTTTGCTGTGAATTTGGCGTTTGTAATGTGTATGAATTGGTGTTTGCATCCAAATGATATGATAGCTGAGCTGATGCCAGTGAAATGCACAGAAGAAGACCGACAAAGGTGATTGATTGCTATTTAAAATAAAATCGAAAATATTTTATTAGAATAGAAGTCAATCTAAATCGGTGTAACGATATTTTTTCCTCGCAAATCAATTCAAATGATTGGCTTCATCGTCCGGAGAGTAACACAAAATAATAAAAAAAAATCGAAAATAATTAAGTTGGTTTGATTTGGCTTCAAGTTACAATAATTGAAAAGTGTCTATGTTCGAATTTCAGAGAGAAAATTTTGCTAAATATCAAATATAATAAGTGACCATAGTTGAGAGTGCTTTTATCATCTTAATTATACATTGTATTTCAAGATTATACAAAATGTGGCGTAAAATAGATAATGAATTTCATCACATATTTAAAAAAAAAATGCATTCGAATGGTGTTCCAGAATAGGCTGTTCGAGTTATTTATTTGCCGAATATTCTTTCTTTGAAATCATGTTGGCATGGAGTCCGACAAAACTTATGGTATGTAATAGGAGTGCAGATAATTTAGTGATTTCGACAGCCACTTGTTAAGAAATACAATGTTATATTTAGATCAATTTTTGTTTATCTTTTTACTGCCCATTTCGGTTACGCAATTCTATTTGGTTACATCGCATTTGGCGCGTGTTTACTATTATCATTAGACCGAATTTTGGTGGGAATTTTCCATGGAAAAAGATTAAATGTGTTGTGCGCATGGTTGTGTCCAAATATTGAATTTTTGTACATCATATTAACAACATGATATATTTGGGTCCGCACTAGCTTTCGGGCATTAATGAATATTCACTAAAACAGATTATGGCGGCAAATGTTCGAACAGAATTTCAATATTTAGAACTGATTGTTGTTTGTGTAATTTAGCGCTTTTAATTGGGCAATCACTGGGGCCATTTATTTTGATTAACAATGCTGTTAACACTATCGATGTTATCATCTGCTGGCGTCGATTTATAAAAAAGCGTGCTATATCTTACAATTTAATCTAAATCATCATGATAGCAAAAAGCCACCAAGAGCTATACCATAAACAATCGATTGTGGATGAAACGATCATTGAACCGACAAAGTTTTGATTACAAATTGTTTTCGTTATTTCTTCATTGGATGGCGCAAAAGCCGTTTTTACGTCATTTGGAAAGGCGTTAAAATAATAATAAAGCATAGATAGGTCGTTTGTTGAAAGTTTTCAACTCAATTTAATGTCTTCCAGCTTGAATGCGTTAGTAAAAATTGATAACTTTTCTTATTTCATTCAAAACTGAGATTCAGCTCGATTTAAAAATAAATGATATTTTCTTTGACGGTTATGGGTTTTGCGCGTAGATTATTTTCAGCGTATCGCAGCGAAAAAGAGGTTCGTTGAACATTAAAAAATAATAATATATAAACAATAGCAAAAGAGGGAAGTATAGCAGGAGAGAGAATGAGCGAGAGTAAAGTCAATGTAATCATTTATATTCATATGTGTTTTCCACAACTGTGAAAATAGTGGAGAGGCACTGCATGTGTAACAATTGACCTGAATGTTAAATAACATCATAGTAGTAACGCTAATGAAAACACCAAAGAAGTCTCATGATATAGTGCATGATACGCGGTCGTGATCGAGAGAAAGTTCAGCGCATATATTTTTTTATGCGATCAGCAACAGCTGAGTAGCGAACAAACATGAAAAATGCACTCGCCTGCTCTGACATGGTCTACCAACAACACTCGGTACTAATTAATGACAAAGAGATAAAATAAGACTTCACAGGTAAGCAGCGCCACAATAAAATTTGGAAGAAAAGATATTACATGTTAGCCATGTCTTTTTCGATTGATTATCAAGAAATAAAAAAAAACTAAATCGCGGACATATATAATATACATATTAAAAATAATAAATGGAAATGGAACAAATTGAAATTAACTATTGGTATAAATTCGAACACATGATTGAGAAGTTGCTATTTTCACTAAATAAAGCCATTTATTGATGAGATGTACAACACAATTCGCACTACAAAGTGACTCTGTTGAATTGGTTTCCGATTTTATTATCAATTGAACATAATTTGAAAACATAAACGAAATGACATTTTCAATGTGAATAATTTAAATAATTCAATTGAAAATGAAAACACACTTTGCCAAATTTAAATACAAACCTGCATTTTATTTTGATTTTTAATTCTCTTTTGTTTGCAAATACTTTCGTTTTATTTGACACTTATTGTGTGGAGTAGCAGCAAATAATACTTTTAATGTTACGAATTTTCCCGTTAGTATTTTATTATTGACATGAAAATGGTTTTTATTCAATTTCGACACTTTATTTGCTTTACACGTAAGAGACTTTATGAACCGTTCCAAGCTGTATTAAAAATGCACTGAAACCAACAATGTCATCGAGATCCATTAAATATGTAACACAAAGCCAAAGTCTCATCCAAGCTCAAAATACCGTCAATCCCACCTCGAATTGCAAAGCCTTCCGCTTGGAGCTCGTTTTTCACATAATAAACGGTCAGATATGGTATATGCATATGTCTGTATTATTTTATATTCTCTTTTGTTGCCTACCGCAGCGTAACCGCGACCACTACCACTTGCAATGATGCGCTTAATATCGAAATAATCCACACACACACATAACCATTTAAATGTCTCTTTCACAAAAAAAGACATTGATTTTATTGGTTCAGATAAGGTTCATTTTCACATGAATCATTGAAAGCACTTTTTGGCTATTTTCATGTTTTTTTGATAGCATTTTACACTCGCGTACTCACGCCATGACAATTTTTAAATTCACAATGTCTGCTTCATTAGATGTTGATAAGTATATACTTCTTTTGTGTGGAGTTTTGAGTAAATTGATGATGTCGCAGGCTTCATATACTTTTTTTCCGGTGCCATTCGATTCCTATACTTTATGGGATTACTCTAGATGGAGTAAAATGAATTTCTTATCCGAAAATTCAAATGGATATGCATTGAATGACGCCCAAGAAATAATAATAATAATAAAAGGATATGCTTGAAGCATCCAGTATTTTGCGTCTATCTCATCATTATTATCAGTTCCATGAATGACTTTCTAACATCATAATTCTTCCTATGTTGAGTGTTGTTAACTTGGAAAGGCAAAATAATATAGATATACTGTTGAAACGTCTTTCCGTATTTGCTGTTGAAGTCGGGCGTCATCAACTAAGTTCAAGATTAATATTGTTAGTCAACGTCAAATGACTCTCACAGTATATGGAGGCTCAATAAAGTCTTGTATATACAACCAAGTTTAAGAAAATATCGAAAGATGTTTTTGTTTGTAACATGATGAAAGTCGCAGCGTTGGATTTGCGATCGGAGATGGTACCGATGACGGAAATGTCGACTTGATTATCCAATTTTCCGTTGTTTTAGCGTTATAGTAAATTCATACATTGCCACGAATATTGTTCTTTTCAAGCATCCATAAAATCGATTTACCTTTCAATTTTTTTACATATATATTCGATGTAATGCAAAGATATTTCCATTTATTTTGTGATAAGTGAGGTTTGATTCACCTAGGACGAGTTTCATTCACCTTTTCTATTCAAACTTTATTTAAAGGATGGAAAGTGTTTCAATGCAGCATAATGAAGATTATGAATATCAACCGAAGCAAAAAATGTTATAGAATTATCACATCTCTAATGTTCGGGGAAAAACAAAACTTTGACCGACAAAAGTTTAAGCAAAGAATAAAGCGGAAATGCAATAGTTGTGAAGTTGTTGTTTCACTTTCTATTAAACCAATAACACTCTCATCATAAATATCTGATGGTGTTGTCAAAATATATACCACCAATTTACCGAGGAAAAAGAAAAACAAACTGGTAATGGTAATCTTATATGCCACATCTTTCGTTGGAAAAAGACTAAAGATGTCAAAGTTCAGAGAATAAGTGGTTTCACTTTATTTTGAGAAGAGAATTACAAAACATATGACAGCCTTGTCAATGTACAATGACATTTAAAATTTAATTCTCTAAAATGCCTGAACGTGCACATTCATCAAGATAATTGATTCAGGTGTTGGTAAATGTTTTTTTTACTACGGTAAATTGATATGAAATTCTCAACAAAAGAAAACAACAATATAAAGGTTGATTCACTTAAAGTAGTTTATTGGTTTGATCGAAAAATGAACACGCATAATGTATAATTAATAATTATATAAATCTCTAATCAGAAAACCATAGCACGGCCAATTCAAAGGGCATACACATTCATGTTCAGTATGGAACATTTATTGGAAATTTTACCTCATAAATGCCCAAACGGCAAACACAGACCATTCAGATGTAAAATAGATCACAAATTACATGGCCTTGACCATTTTGGCACTGGGACGATTATTCAAATTACAAATTTCCATCAAACTGTAGCTTTGGAAAATATATTGGCAGATTTATCAATAATATCCAGTGTATAAAGGCGTAGAAACGCAAGCATTCAAGAGAAAAATCAACACAAGAAATTGATTTTTAAAAAAGTCAGTCAATACTCAACACACGCCATTGACGCATGAACTGAATTCATTTTTTTTCTTTATACTTTATTCATGTCTTGTATCTGTGCCAATTTTTTTGGCAAAATCAAACCTACTAAGCAGCGTTCAACTTGTTACTTTCCATAAAAACACGTCAATCTCACCCACATATTACAAAACAAGTGCAATCTCTTTTCACTAATTTGCTATCGATTTAATTTTCCATACTTTTTCTGGTTCTTTTTTCTCGCTATGATTAGGTAATCGAAATGCACTCACGATGAGATAATACACTCACATGAGTAGCAGCTTGAATTTACGGTCATTTGTCGCTACGTAGTAGCATTGCCAATCTGGTTATGTTGTACTGTAAAAAAGCAATCGAAGAGAGAAAGAAGTTCGCATGAACAATGTGGCACATCGTCACGGTACACGGTCGTTTGTAGTAAACTTTATACCAACGAGATATTGTGCTGATTTCAGTGCTGAACAAATTTTCAATTTCCATATTTTTAAGCAATGGCATATAGCAACGTAATTGGTTGGCATTTTGTAATCATATGTACCTGATAAAAAAACAACTTTTTTATGATCTTGTAAAATTGACTCAACAAAATGATACTTTTCAGCACTTCAAATTCGAATACAGTGAGTTGTGTTCAAATATGTTGAAAAAAACGTGCGGCCTGAGACTCTTGAATCAATTCAAAATCTCCGTTCGATTTTGTTGTGTTGTTCCAATTGTGTATGTATCGAATTTTACGATGATTGTATTTTTTGCTTTGTTTTCATTTCATTTCTCCTTTTACTGCATTCAACTCAAGCCGTATAATGTGGCAGCATGTGCATTGCATATTCAAGACGACGGTTTAACTGACATTTCACTAAAATCTATAGGATAAATATTTTAAACAAACTTGTACGGTTGTAGTTGACGATGTGAATTTTTTATTCACGTTCGTTTTTTTTCTTCTTCTTCTTTTATCTTTATAATTGTTCAAAGCCGATCGATAGCATGCTGCCGCATTATAAAAAGATACAAATAAAACATAGCAACAAATATCACAGATTTGCACGCATAAGCGCATTAAATTCGATCAATAAACGACGTGTTGCATTTTCATGAAGCATTCACAGTATCAAATGAATACGATAGAGAAACTTTTGTTTTCATTTTCCACTTAAAAACGATACATGTTGTGATGCATTGCGAGGCGCATCATAGATACCGTCACATTTGCTCTTCCCTCATTTCTTTGTTTCGATTTTGATTTCGACAATATTAAATCGTCGTATTTTGTATACCATAGGTGATTTAATGCCAACAGACACAGTAGATCATTTTTCTTATTTGTATTGAGTTGCGATGCGATATATTGTGTGAGGGCGCGTAGAAGGAGCCAGTCGCAACGGGTTAATAAAATGTAAATGGCAGATTGGGAAATTGAATGTCTTGAGAATGGTTGTTTGTTTATATTTAAATCATTTGCTATTTTAGCAATTTGACAACAATGAACGTTGAATCATCGTTTTCTTAACAAATGAAGCTAATAAGCTTTGAAATAACATACGTTCGTTTCATTATGCAATAGTTGTAATGGAATCATTTTAAATACATTGTAATGGAATTGAAATGATAAAAGGTGAAAATGGTAGCTCGTTGAGACTATTTGCACTGTTCATAAATAGGAATAGTAATTCATGAAAGGGAAACAATAACATATTCCGAAAAACATTACTAATTGTTGATAAGTTAAATTTCTATTCGACCGTCAAATGAATAACAATGACAGAGCAACAACCGCTACTGTGAACAAAACACCATAAATCAAATATCCACTTTCTCGAACGTGTGTGATTGCTTAATTGTTTGTATTTGAATTCGAAATGCGGAATATCATTCATTGTGTGCAATGAATAAATGTATATGAAATTCGCACAAAAAAACATTAAACACATTTGAATTCAATGAAATCTCCGCATTTAAATTCGTCTATTTAATAAAATTTGTTGTAGATATGTTGTAGCAAATTTTTTTTACAAAACTCAAGATGGTTTCTTCTTTACATATGGCATATTAGTCTGAGGATTGGATGCGTCACCGCGTTATTTTAACGCAAAATTGGTAAGAAAACAACGTGATTTTGGTGGAAAAAAGGTGTATGGGTTTCAGGAAAAACAGCTTAGAAGGTTCGAACAAAACAGCTTCAAAAATATTTTTGCTAATGGTTTTCAATTATTTGGAAAATACCGGAGTGTTCTTCAGAAAATTTCATTACACCTACGAATTGTATTCAAAATGAACTCATTACAGACAAAGTAGTCCAATGATCATAAACTCATTTCAATCAGAATAACAAACAACACCACTTCAAACCGAAGAAAAAATTGTAAAAGAGATTACTTTTTTAAACAACGGAACCAAATCGCTGTTCAAGTGTTTTTTCTTCTATTTTTTTCAGACATTGTGGAGACCTCAATAACCACACGTTAAGTATATCATTAATACAATTCAATGTGGAGAAAATTGAGCCAAACCTTGTTGTTTACTTGAATCTCATGAAACTTTTTTTTTATTTCAAAAGAAAATTGTGGCTTTTTCCCTTCTGAATAAATTCTTCTTGATTCTGATTTTATTCAGGTATATATGATACAAGTTTATATGATATACTCAGCGTACGTGATTATTCTGTTTTTCTTTTTCTGCTGGTTGTTATTGAGAACCAATTATTTGATTTCTTCAACGAATTCTCTCTTTTCATGTTGAAGATTAACAATTCAAGTCCATTTAGTAGCAGATGTACTGCACATGTTCGTAACCGTTTACAGCAAATACAATTCTTATGACTCTTTTCTTGTCATTTCACGTTTAAAAAAGACACGTTGCTGATGCGAATACCAAATACATATTTTTGCAATTCACTTTGGACAAATCTCTTTTTGGTATGTATTAAAAATATCGAATTACATAAATTTATTCCCTTTTTATGTTTCGTTTAAAAATACATAACCAAACAAACTTTTTTCTACAACTTTCTGGAACCTGATAGAAAATGAGTATTCATTTCAAATGCCAAAAACTGTATTGGTTTCATTTTGTATCATATAAATTACGCACAATTGTAAAAGTAAATAAGGACTGCACCAAAGGCTTTGTACGATATACAATTGAAGCAATTGAAACTCAAAATGGTTTGTATTATATTCAAAAAGAAGTAAATGATATTTGAAACTGTAGATTTAATGAGAACATGATGCCTGGTGAAAGTGTTCAAACGGAATGTAATGTTGTATTATTCATTACAGTGGGTTTAAGAGTTAATTGTTTATTCGTTTCAAAAGTTGCCTGAATACAATGCAAATTGACATTTAACTCCTATTCAGTAAACAATATATACAAAATTACTTTGTACAATTGTACAAACAACCACAAACAAAACCACTTTACATCAGGACGATAAAGTAATAAACAATATGTTTCCTTTGTTACATATGAACAGATTGGGTTTGTTTGGTTTTAAGAACTGAAACACAAGTTTGTCAAAAAAAATAAAGGAGTAACTAGAGTGGTTGTATTTCTATTTTCACATTTACGTAGGTTGCTCCATAATTTTTTTTAAAATGGTACTTATAGTGTTGCCCGATGTAAACCATTGTCATATTCGTAAAGTTTGATGTTTTGGTATGTATTCGTGCCCTGAACCTTTTGTCGTACGAACGCTATTTGTATTGTTTACAGTGACTGGTAAACTGCGACTCAACAAAAAAATGAATTTTACACGTGAAGATTTTCGTAAAATGATTTACTACGATTTTCGAAGTAAATTATCTCAACAACAGTGTTTCGATCGACTTCATTTGGCCTTTGGCAATGAAGCACCAACCCTTCAGACAATTTATAACTGGTACCGAGAATTCCGTTGCGGTCGTAGTTCGCTCAAAGACGAGTTTCATACAGGTCGTCCAAAATCGGCTGTTGTGCCACAAAACATCGATGCTGTCAGAAAACTGATTATGGAAGATCGTCATGTGACCTACCGTGAGATTGAGGCATCTTTGGGCATTTCATCCCACAGCATACATACAATTTTGCATGAACATTTAGCCGTAAAAAAGATTTGCTCTCGTTGGATCCCACATAAATTGACCGATGAACAAAAAATGGCTCGTGTGAGTTGGTGTAAAGAAATGCTCAAGAAATTCAATCGTGGTGCTTCAAAAGACGATAATAAAATCGTCACTGGTGACGAATCGTGGATATATGCCTATGAGCCCGAAACGAAACAGCAGTCGACTGTATGGGTCTTCCAAAATGAAGATAACCCAACGAAAGTTGTTCGAGCAAGAAGCACTTCGAAGCGAATGGTCGCCTGTTTTTTCGGGAGAAGTGGTCATGTGGCAACCGTTCCACTAGAGGATCGTAAGACCGTCAATTCTGATTGGTATACCACCATTTGTTTGCCCGAAGTGTTTGGTGAAATAAGAAAAAACAACCACCGTCGCAAAATAATTCTTCATCACGATAATGCGAGCTCTCACACATCTTTTCAAACTACTCGATTTTTGACCGGTCAAAACATCGAACTGATGGGTCATCCACCGTACAGTCCTGACCTGGCACCCAATGACTTTTTTTTGTTCCCAAGCGTGAAGAAAAAACTACGTGGTCAACGATTTTCGACACCAGAAGAAGCAGTTGAAGCGTTCAAAACACACGTTTTGGAGATATCAGTTTCGGAGTGGCACGAATGCTATGACAAATGGTTTCATCGAATGCAAAAGTGTATCGATCATCTCGGGGAATATTTTGAAAAACAATAAAACCATTTTCGACAAAAAACAACTGTGTTATATATGTTTTTAAAAAAAATTATGGAGCAACCCTCGTACTGGAACAAGTTAAAAAACGGCTACTCACAACACCCATTAAACATAATGCGAAACTATTAAATGAAAATACTCTTGATTGAGATAAAAACATTATGAGCTTGGAAAATGAATGGGTTACTACTCTCCTGTGTGTGTGTTTTGTGTGCGTACCACTTCTCGCTGTAACATTCTATGATCTTGTTTCGATTGCCGTAAATGTTATTGCCAATTATCGATACGTTAGACAAATACATGAACGTGTAACGCGTGCAAAGCATGAATCTTTTACACTCCATTGCATTTACAATATGCATATGCACAAAAAACACCACGCTACACTCCTATTCAAGATCTTACGAATGAGACAGAAAAAAGTGCTTTCAATGTGCCCTCCAGAATATTTTTTTCCCTCGTCAAACTTGGAAAAATGTATAAAAAGACAAGTGATGCCAATTATTTCTGTAGTTGGTGTTCGAATTTTATCGAATGAACAGCGACAATACTTTTCAATCGCAAATTAGTTAAATCACTTAAATTAAGATGGCTTTCAAGGTACAGAATTTACGTAGAAATGGCGAAGCAAGTGCTAAGTTTTATAGTTAAAGTTGTTGTTCAACGTTTTATAGTTTTTTTCCATTCTTTCTTCGAACTGCATAAATTTCTTGAGTTTAATAGTCTCAATGAGAAAAAAATAATTTAACGATTTGAATGAATAGTTCAAACTCTATTCAATTTAAAAATTATGAAAAACTTTGATAGAGTTTTTCCAAAGTATCAGTCTATATATTCTTTTGTGAACGCCGTTCACTGAACGGATGCACTTTTTCAAATATTTCATTTCAATTATATACGGAAGAGTGTTAGTGCATATTTTCCATGAAAAATTTCCTATAGAGGAAGTAGAATATCCTAGATAGAATTGTGAAAACGGGAAGAATCACTTCAACGACAAAAAAATATTTTAAACGATGTGAGAATTTAGTTTCATTCTTTTTTTCCTGAAATTAATTTCCGCGCAATTCTTAATCCAAAGATATTTTACGAATGAACTCACTGCATACCATCACAGAAACCATGTTACAAATTATCTGAAAGGAAACTTGCAACTTACTACATTGTGATTTTCAACAATAGAAGTTCAATCTCTGAAGAATAGAAATAGAAAGCAGTATGAATTCTATGTATATGTGCAGTTGAATCAATTGATATTCAACACAAAGTGATTTAATCTCATTTGATACTCGATAAAAATTGAAAACTCAATATAAAAAGATATAGTGTGAATATATTTCAATTGGATTACGATTCATTTTTTTTTCTTTCATTTTTTGTGTGCATATTACAGTTGTTGTTTTTGGCTGTGCTCGTTGCACATGCAAACGCTGGTGGACCTGCAGCATATAGCATTAACGCATTATCCGGAGATCATGCATTCGTAGGAAGTTCACAAGAGCACACGGTTAAAGTATGTTGATACATTTTCGTGAAATTGCATATTTTGCAATGTTTTTTAAAATTCTATTGATTTTCTACTTGAAAGGGACTATATGGCCAAAATGTTTTATCGTCGTATGCAAAAGCCGTCGATTCGGCCCACTCATCCGTACGTGTTAGTAGTTCTCGTCAAAGCAACGACGTTCTCGGTGAGCAAATCAAATATTTTTAATACAAAACACATTTGGATGTTTGTTCCAGTTTTCATTGAATACAATACCAACGTAATTTACGTGCGTTATTACGTAATTTACGTGCTCGTAAATAATAAAGTCGATTAAAATTTGCGTTACACTATCATTAGCATAATGTAGTTCATATTTCATATGAGTCAACTGAACCTGTTTGTGTATCAAATTAAGGCATTGTCGATGCTGTCTTTTTTATTTGAAAATTTTAAAATTTGCTATGAGAAAAATATTTCTTTTTTTTTTTTAAATAGAACCGATAAAAAAGTAAAAAAAAAAACTCAATTTTAATTCGACTGGTTTGTCATGGACGAATTCAACATGATTTGTATTTATTTTAATGAGTGCAATAATAAATTAATTAGCAACATCGAACAATTATGAATTAGTTTGAACATTTGTGAACAGAAAATAACTCAAGTTTTTTTCAGGTGGTTATGGTGCTGGTTATGGTGCCGGTTATGGTGCCGGTTATGGTGGTGCTTATGGTGCTGGATATGGTGTCGCTGCATACGGTGTTCCCAAAGTCGTTGCATCACCACTCAGTTACTCAGCACCTTCGGTGTATGGCGGACCTTCAGTATATGGTGGATACGGTAATTTTGAATTTCTACAGAAAGATGGGAAATATAGTGACAACATAAAGACATCATCAAAGGAATAATGTCACAAGCAATAATACTGATTTTAAATCAGTGAATAATTCTCTTCATATACACATATATTTATTTATATGATATTTTTGTTTGTAGGATATAATAAAGTTGTTAGTCCGGTCGTTTCTCCTGTTGTTGCTTCTTCTTATGGAGGTGTGTACTTTTTTTTCTTTAAATAAGTTTACATCTCGTTCAATAGGAGATCTTTTGTAATTCAATTTAAAATTCACAGGTTATGCTGTACCAAAAGTTGTCTCACCTGCTGTCGGTTTGTAGTTTATATAAAATTAACTACCAAATATGGTTCATTATAATTCAAAATGTGGAATATATCTTTTATTCTAACATCACTAATTAACTTTCCTTTCGGTAAAAAGTTGAATAATAATCTTCTGTAGAGGAAGTTTTTTTTTAACTTTAAACGTTTTGACAAAATATTATATTTAATTTCAGGAGTGTACGGTGGAGGGTATGCTGCACCTGCCTTAGGTATCATTTTTCTATCTCTTAATTATAACTGATGTTTAATGTTTTAATTTGATCATCAACATTCGACAGAGTCTGTAAACCAATTAAAATCAATTTCTCACAATACACATTGCTTTCTAGGCTATGGAGCTAATTTGGTGCCAAAAGTAGTTTCTTCATACGGTTCATATGGTGGTAAGAAAATGTCAATCAAGTGTCAAATGAATAGCTAATTTTTGTAAAACATTCTATCTAGGCTATGCTGCTCCAAAAGTTGTTGCACCCGCTCTTGGTATACAATTTTAACTATGCAATGGAGGGAGAGTGTGTAATTTCAGTCACTTTCGGTAATCCAATCTGCGTATCGATATCTGGAAACCGAGTTACTCCACTCTCCTTTTCTCCCAATATTCTTTTCACATATATTTACTAAACAAAATGACCTATTATAGGAGTTTCCAAAGTTGTCTCATCCTACGGCGCATATGGATATGGTGGTTACGCTCCAAAGGTTGTTGCCCCCGCATATGGATATGGTGGTTACGCTCCAAAAGTTGTTGCCCCCGCATATGGATATGGCGGTTCGTTATAATTTTTTCTCACCTTTTTTATATAATAATTTATTTTAATACAAACGATCCACCACTACTAATTGTTTTTCTCGATAAAAATTGTGGATGAAGTTTTCTCTCGACATCTTTGATGTGTTGTTTCTATTGAAACGTTTTGTTTGATTTTAATTTTTGTTTTCAGGAGTATCGCCTGTATCGACAGTAGTCAGTAGTGGATATGGTGCACCCGCTTTAGGTACTTTATGCTTTTTTGAACATTTTCTTCTTAAATTAAATTGGCATTTAAAGTTTTAATCGAAAATCAGCGTAAAAAACCAATGAAGTTTATTTGTTAAATTAATTAAAATCGATTTCCAGCGATGTGCTTTACTTCATATTTACTTTTATTTTTTAAAATGTATAGCTTATGGATCGTATGCTCCAAAGGTTGCATCAGTGGCTGGCTATGGAGTCGGTCCAGCGGTTTTGGGAGGCTACGGTGGTATGTTGAAAATTGCTTATCATATGAAACACGTTTCAAATTAGTGTTAAACAAGTATGAAAACTCTTATGTTTCGAAATGGAAATTTTCAATTCACCAAATGAATTTTTCGTTTAGTTCTTATTGGTTTTGTTTATCAAATTAAAATTGCTTCAATCCAAAATTATAGAATCTAGTCACAACTTTGGTTATGTATGTCATTTAATTTTATCTCTGTTCTTACCAAATTGACGTACTTTAATTGATTTCTAACAACTTTGCAGTATGAAAAAATTTCAATGCCAAAAAGTGTTTCAATCTTGTGTCAGAAAACAACTTCTCTTTTTGTTCTTAATTAGAAAAATCCAAGTAGATTAGAAAATTATTTAGCTAAGCAAGTCTTCCCATTTTTGCATTCATTAACTGACATCAGAGTTAATTGAATGAGTTTAACAGAAAAAGATGTTAATTTGTCGTCCATAAAACCCAAATTTACTGGTATCATTTTAATTCAAACTTGGCTCAAAACCAAATACGTTTTCAATGTATTTTTGCAATTAAGCAAACTTTCCAATTAAGCAAAACCGATTTTCCACTTTAGAACCATAAGATTTAATCAGACAATTTTTCATCATTATATCCTTTTATTTAATATTGTAAATTTGTTAAATATTATAATTAAATTCAGACACTTTCTCATTTTTCATTTATAGGTGTTGGACCAGTTGTTAAGTAAGTAGTTTTGAATGAAGTACTCATCTCTTTCCAACCATAACCGAAACACTAACACATTGAAATCACCGCCTTCGCCAGTAATGCAATTAATTTTCAATACATACAATGATTTTAAGTACAAAAACTCATCGTGAACGGTATAACACTGATATGGAAGAAGTGTGCTTTCAGATTTATCACCTACGCGTTCCATACGTTGGAAAACGTACATACATTTATAAAATGTTCCAATATACATGAGAAACACTTTCAATGTGGAAGAGTGATGACATATAGTGTGAATTGTAACACAACTTTAAAGCATAACGGATGCTTCTACAACAACAATTGAAATCCTAGATAAATGTGTTGAACGTGATTATAAACTTTGAGATTTAGAAAGAAAAAAAAACGTAGAAACAAAGCATAATTTGTTTAACAAGAATATGTGCACTGCACGCGCAACTAATTAATCAGATATAATTGAAACCAAAATCTACTCGATTTTTCAAATTGTTTTAATTCGCATGTCGTTAACACATTTTAAATGATTCAAGGATTTCCTTCCTTTTAAAAATGTTGCAGAAAATTGAGCAATAAATTTCCACTTAATCGCAAAGCAACGGATATAACGAAATGTGCAATTTATAGTATTACTACTTATCGCATTCATTCCAATGGAACTAGGATAAATGCCACTTTAAATCCGTATAAAACGTTTTAACAAATTGAATAAATTTGGCGATGTGCACTACGCGTAATTAACATTGGATCGTATTTTTTTTACATGTGATTCATAAAGAATGAAGATAGCGCGGAAATCAAATTCATGTGACTAAAACTTTTTAAATCTCCTTTCAGATCTGTAGCTAGTCCAGGATACGGTGGAGTAGTCAGTGTCGTTAGTCCAGGAGCCAGCTATTCATGGTAAATTTCGTCCAAACCAGAATGAAGATGCAAAAAATTATCTCGTTCGAGATTCGTTTTCAGCTCTATTTATTCTAATTTCTTTGTCTATATGAAGCTCACAGACGATCAAATTTACATTAAAAAATATACTTTTACAAAAAAACACATTTACTTGTTTTGCTTTTTTTATAGATTCATTCATCTTTTACCAATGGTTTTGGTGTCATTTATTTTGAAAATTCGTTTATTTAATATTAAGATATGGATCAAATGAGATACCTTAATAATACGAACACATTTATTTATTCGAATCAGCGAAAGTTATCACCTCTAGATCAATAAAAAGCAAATGCATCTGGAATACCGTCAACACTGATAGAAAAAGCTGCGATTTCATTGCACGTGGGATGCTTTGTGTTTATCGTTTGCTTTATTGCGAGGGTTTACTTATACGTATAAGCATAATACAAATTCCATGTCATTATCTGTTGTGCACTACATCAGTAGAGAAACAAGCTAGGACATCAAGTCTGTTTAAAAAAAACACAATATTGAAAAGCCATGGTATGGTAATAGACTCATTGAGTGTGACTCAATTGCATGGTATTTATAATTAACAGCAGGATAATAACGACTGACAGTGCTCTCATTGGGAAAAGTACCGGGGTCATCGTATTTGTCAAGTTCTATTTTTACACTCTACTTGCAGTTTTCTTCGCATTAATTATAAACGACACCATTGTTTATCACATTTATCACACCAGCTCTTTCAATCTTATCCCTCAACATTGCACAATGCTTCGTAGTGATTCAAACATTGTTGCTCATACCACGTAATATGCTAAAAACTATGGATAATTAACACCAACCACACCTAAATTCTATATGCACCCTTTTAATTACATGGTTATCCGCACCGCACAAAACATGTTGAGTCTTATCTTCTCCAATCCCTTTCGTTTTTTTTGCTTCAGGAATTCTTACAAATGGATATGTTGTATGAATGCCATTTATCGACACAAAACTTTTCATTTTAAGTTTTACTATTGGTCTTTTTATCAATTTCACAAAAATGTGAAAAATTGTAGGAACTTTGCATAGTTCTTGAACTGAGCAAACTGAATCTCATTAACTATAGAGAAAACCACCCTGAAAAAAGTTCCAAAAGTTGGTAAAACTATTCATAAAACTTCAACGGAAGAGCAATGCAAATTTAGTTGGACTGTTCAAAATCTTTAAATATTTCAAACAGATACAACCTTAGAGGTAGTTGTTACATATTATTATTTTTCCATGGTGATCAACAAATCAGATTCAATGCAGTCTCAGAGAATGTTTTTTTTTAGTGGAGAATGATAATAGCTCAGCACAATCAATTTTCTACTCTTTACTTTTTTACAACTTTTTTTTTTCAAAGAAAAAGCAGACGTTATTATTAATTGTAGAACATATTTTTTAAAAGAGTATTTAAATATTATGAGTACTTACGGTTGGTTATCACTGTTTATTAAACACCGCCAACGCAAAGTTAAAAAACTCAAATGGAAATGAAAAGTGAATGTAGAATAACATCAAAAACTTGAATACAAATACTCGTGCAGCGTAGGATAATCTGGGCTTATACTTGACTTGTGCCAATGTTTAATTGAAACTTAGGGTGGCAAATGAAGAAAAATTTATAAAGCTACCGCAAATATTTAAAAAATAATTTGTTTTCATTCAAAGAAAATTTTCCGCTATTTTAGAAAATTGGAAAGTGACAATATTTAGGTCAATCTTGACAAAGTATTAAAAAATGAGGAAGTGACTCTTTTGCACGTTTAAAACCATCAATTTATTCTGTGACTACTATTTCTTGAGACTTACTTATATTCGAGCAATAAAAGCAAGTATTCTTCATCTTGTCTTGATATTATATGAAAAAGAAAAAAAAACATGAGTAATTTTCCTGTGTATCTCACTATCGCAAGTATGACAGTAGACTGCGTTCAGTTGATCTTGATACAAATAATGTCTTTTTACAGTTGATATAATATTTTAAGTTCCACATAAAACTCGTAGCAAAAGATTTAAAAGTTTGCTTTTGTGATTGAATCCATTAGTGTAATTAAAGAATGAAACTTTTCATTTTGAATTTCCATTTTCATATGATTTTGACTGCAAGATTACTTACTCGAAGAAAAAAAAACACAAATTCCAAGAATATTTCAAAATCTTGATATCGCTGTACTAGACAAAATTAAACTCAAACATTTATATCCATCTTCAAATTCATATCAGAAAGTACAATGAACATCTTAATACTTGATTCGTTGGCACTGTATTATCGTGAATTCGTCATTTTACCACAACGACATTACAAAAGAGAGAATGGCTTAAAATAAATGCGTCAATATACAAACAATAAGTTGGTGACGTCATTTTTATCTATAAGTCAACCGCATCTCTTGCAAAATGGTACGAATATATGAATATGAGAGAGTAAGCCAAGTCTACCATAGTTATTGTTCGTAAAAATACAATAGAAATCAATGCGCGGTAATCGCTTTTTGAATAACAATTATATTTTACAAAAAGGTAGCTTAATTTGTTCAATCCATGTCATTTCTCCAAATTATGTCAACAACAATGTTTTAATTACGACTTTTTGTGGCATGGCTATGCATTGAATTTCTAAATTCATTTATTTTTTGGCTTCAAAGTATGACTTGTTATATAAAATCAGTTCAAATGACGGTAACGCAACCAAAACATACCGTCTAAATTAAATAATAACCATCAAAAATTGAATAACAAATTTAATGACTTGAAATGCCGAGACAGATCTTTTGATTAAAAATGGTCTACATTGTTACACGAATTAAAAAAAAAAACAATGAAATATAATCTGATGCATGAAAGTTGTAAAGGATTAAAATAAACATTTATAATTATGTGAATGATTATCCACATACTTTGTGTGGATAACTTTGAACAACAGCTACACCACGTGTGACTCAAAACGTTAAATATGAAGCATAATGACAGGCGTTTCATTTAAATTCAATCTGTATATTTGCTAAATAAATTTGCTTTAGTGAACGCATTAAAAGCAAATGAGAAGAATTTAAAAGTTCATGCGGGGAATATAGCTTCATTGGACAAAAAACATTTTTCGTCATGTTCACAATATTCATTTTACATAATGCACGTACACATAGTACTGTTATGATAACAGTAACCACATCAGTACAGCATTGATTCTAATGAAATGGGTGGTGCGGTGAATGAAACCGTAAAAACACTACTGCTATCGGACTTCACTGAAATTTATCCTGCTCCTTTGTTAGGTGTGTTTGTGTTCGAATGATTACTAAAGCTTTCAAGTTAGAATTGTTGTAGTATTAATGTTTATCAGACAGCCGGATTTGCAAAACATGGAACAATTGCACGCCTTGTCAATTCAATTTAGTTATATGTTAACATTACATGAATAAACTGTTTTTAAAATTGACTCATATGATAGTGTGTGCTATTTTTCATTAGAAATTCAGAACAAACGGCCCTTTGCATCTGTATGAGATTATTTACCAATTACATAACAATAATAGACTGATATGTGTGTCCGTGACACATACAAAGCCACATAAAATGGAAGAACTTTAAGCTAGAATTGAATTGTCACTGTTAAAGGCATAATACGCATTTTCGTTGACCTGGTATTTATAATTTTATTATGGAATTAGATTTAGCTCTAACTTTTATAATACCGCACGTTAACGGACTTTGTTTCTTTTATTTTTAGTAAGTCTTTTCAAGTAGAGATATACAAATAATACGAAACAGCCAAAACGTATTTTTTCCAACATAATGTTATCGGCACACCTATATTCAAATGGTGCGACTTCTAACTTGCAAACAGTAAAGTGTCATTTGTCATACTACGAGGGTTGCTCCATAATTTTTTTTAAAAACATATATAACACAGTTGTTTTTTGTCGAAAATGGTTTTATTGTTTTTCAAAATATTCCCCGAGATGATCGATACACTTTTGCATTCGATGAAACCATTTGTCATAGCATTCGTGCCACTCCGAAACTGATATCTCCAAAACGTGTGTTTTGAACGCTTCAACTGCTTCTTCTGGTGTCGAAAATCGTTGACCACGTAGTTTTTTCTTCACGCTTGGGAACAAAAAAAAGTCATTGGGTGCCAGGTCAGGACTGTACGGTGGATGACCCATCAGTTCGATGTTTTGACCGGTCAAAAATCGAGTAGTTTGAAAAGATGTGTGAGAGCTCGCATTATCGTGATGAAGAATTATTTTGCGACGGTGGTTGTTTTTTCTTATTTCACCAAACACTTCGGGCAAACAAATGGTGGTATACCAATCAGAATTGACGGTCTTACGATCCTCTAGTGGAACGGTTGCCACATGACCACTTCTCCCGAAAAAACAGGCGACCATTCGCTTCGAAGTGCTTCTTGCTCGAACAACTTTCGTTGGGTTATCTTCATTTTGGAAGACCCATACAGTCGACTGCTGTTTCGTTTCGGGCTCATAGGCATATATCCACGATTCGTCACCAGTGACGATTTTATTAACGTCTTTTGAAGCACCACGATTGAATTTCTTGAGCATTTCTTTACACCAACTCACACGAGCCATTTTTTGTTCATCGGTCAATTTATGTGGGATCCAACGAGAGCAAATCTTTTTTACGGCTAAATGTTCATGCAAAATTGTATGTATGCTGTGCCCAAACCCAATAAACCATTTGATCCATTCTGTAATGCCATTTGTAGCACATTATGTATACATGTACAAATTTTGTACACATTATGTATACAAACTGCATTACAGGATGGATCAAATGGTTTATTGGGAAGATGCCTCAATCTCACGGTAGGTCACATGACGATCTTCCATAATCAGTTTTCTGACAGCATCGATGTTTTGTGGCACAACAGCCGATTTTGGACGACCTGTATGAAACTCGTCTTTGAGCGAACTACGACCGCAACGGAATTCTCGGTACCAGTTATAAATTGTCTGAAGGGTTGGTGC